TTCTGCTTTATCACTCTAAAACTTTGTTAGTACCTGCTAGAATTAATAACTGATTGGATTATTCGTCTAGGCTGAATTCTGCAGAGATAGATGTTCTCTCATATTCTGCTTCATAAAAATTGACCTACATGTCTGTTAGAAACTTTTACTAGAGCTGATGCAATAGAAGGTTAAGCAACTTGCAGCCTGCCTCACTGAAATTTGTAAGAGAGATACAAGTAGTCGGAGAGGTTTTTTTTCTAGACACATATCTGTAAAATTATGGTAAAGAACCTGGTTTTAGATCTGTTTCAGACCTGTGGTCGATTTGGGCAACAAGTTGTCTCCAACAGTGCCTGGCAGCACATGCTTCAGAAGATGGTGCAAAAAATCCTGTGCTGGGAGATATGGTGTCTGACATGAAAGCTTTACTCTAATCCCATGTTGACAGAGCCTTTTTTTAGCTCTTGAAATATGAGGTTCAGCATCCCTTCCTGAAATGTTTTGATGTACTGACGCTTAAAGCTGCAACTACTTGTATAAATAACCAGCACTTCAGCTTGCTAACTCATCAGTGTTGACGATGAGTTTCGCAGTTGCGTTCTGCATGTTTTCCAGGAACAATGGTGCACAGTTTCGGTGTCATTTAATATCCTGTGCTTTTTATATTATAAGCAAGGAAAAAGTGATGTCTCAAAAACCTTCCTCTAGGTTCTTTATCAAGCTACTTTCTTACCTGTTTGCTGTGACCATTAGTTACCCTCTTTCCACGTTCATCCTGTAATGAAGGGCCTTCCGTGTCACAGTCATTTTCATCTCTCTCCCCTAATTCTCCTCTTTTGCTTTCTCTCTGATATGGGATGACCAACTCTGCATATGTGATCGCTGGGCTACTGATGCGATTTTTACTAATATGTTGCCGTTTCTCGTTCCTTTTTGCTTCTCGCTCTTAGGTTAGTTAAATTGCATCCACCTAACTGTGACTGAGTTGAAGAGATGGTAATCTCGTTTGTGATATGCTGGTGTTTCCTGTTGAGTAGTACACAAGGCCTGTAAGCTTGTTTTTGATCACAAGTGCACAAGCCTTGGTACCATGTGACTTAGACCACCCTTCCTGTTGGAAGGACTAGCTTTCTATAGCTCTCACAGAGGTATTAGGTGCTAACAGTTCAAACCTTTTAGCGTATTATTGTACATGTCGTTTTAAGCTACGCCATGTGGTCAGCACGTCAGCTTTGCAGTGGTTTTTTATGTATTTTTTTTTAAAGTAAGGTGAATTTGGGATCATTCTTTTACTGCTAATTTTGTTAATTTACTGTCAAGGAATACTAACGCTGTCATCTCCTATATCTGGTTCATAGACATAGCACTGCTATCTTCTGTAAGGGTGCAAAAAAGAAAACTTTCCCAAAGAAAGCAGTTTTGAGTGTTTTTATTCTCTGTAATACCTGAACAAATTGAGATGTTTGTGATCATACAGAATTGTGTATTGGTGTTAATGACAGAGTTCCCGTTACAGACTTTCTCTGCATCTGCAGAATTTCTCTGGTATTAGAGATGAAAGAACTTAATCCCAACTTCTTAGCCCATACCGCGAGAAAAGGTACAGTTTTACATCTCCTCTTAAACTAAGAGTATATCAGGAGCAGGTATTTAGGTGCTGGAAAAAATTTTGTGCGAGTCTTGCTAAGTTTAGAAATTGAGTACCCCAGAGTATTGGGGGGTGATCCAGGGCTGTAGGATCAGTTCTTGTGAAAAGGAAATGCTTGGAGGCACCTGAATGGATGCAAGTAGGACTCAGCCACTGTAATTTAAAGAGGACAATGAACACATATGCAGAAACCATATTTTTTTTACTGGGTAAGCTGAAATACAAAGGTGCTAGAAGTACAAAGAGTAGGATAAAATATAAGATTTTTGTTATCCATGAATCTCTTAATTTAAAGTTAAATGATTTGTATCAGCAAAGAGGCTGCTAAACCTGAAACTGGGAAAGTAAAAAAATAGCAGACCTAGCAGATCTGGGAGACTTCCGGGTAAGTGGGGGGTGAATAAATGTATTGATGAGTCAAAATGCAATGAGTTGATATTTTTGTATTGTAGAAACCTATGAAGGAGAGTTTAATATGCATAAACTAAATTCTGAGACTTGATGGTTAAAATAACCAGAAAAAATGCCCTCACCCTTTAGATATGTAGTGTGAGAAATGTGGGTATATTTGAAACAGGTTTTCTTGAGGAAATGAGAGCTTGATGAAGATTTAAGAATGTGAAATTTTGGGGGAACAAAACATAAAGGAATATCTTTTTCTGTATTCTTGGTGTTACTTCAGAAAGTGTTTCAAAAGTCTTTTAAAATGCGTCAGCTTAAAAGTCAGTCACTTTAAAAACAGGTTAAAAGTTTCACATGTATGCCTTCCCATGTGCCCCTCCTCAAAACTTTTATTCTTTACAATTTTCTCTTCTTGTTTTAATTCTGATTTTTTTTTCCCTCTGCTTAAATATCTTATGCTTAGCATGGGACATTTATTGTAAAAGTATTGTCATATTTATATTTTTCCTTGTTTTTTATTTTTACTGACTTTAGGAGTTACTATTTGTAGTACTGTATACAGAAAAATTTCCAGAAAAATTATTTTTTAATGGTTATAAAAGAGGACTGAATGTGAAATTCAGTTTTCGTCTGGGGATTTTGGTAAGGCTCTTGTCCCCTTTTTTGTTAAGAGTAGCTCATACATCTGCAAGTTTCACTTTGAGTTTCTGGTTTGAATAATTTCAGGGCTATTTGTAAAAGCCCAAAGAAAGAATTTGCCAGTCCAGTACACAGCAGCATCTCTTGAATGGGATAGGTGCCAACTCTGCATATCGTTTTGCCTATTTGTTCCTAGCATGTCAATCGAAGCGGGAAAAATGTATATGAGGGTGGAGAAGATTCATGAGTAGAACAAACCAGAGAAGGGGAGAGTGGATGGGACACTCTTCTGTAGTTACACCTTTTAGAGATTTATTTAACTGTCTTTTGAAAGTATCATTACTGTTGGTAAGCGTTTGCTAGCACTTGACAAAATCCTTGTTAAATTTTGAGGGTTCTCATGTTAGTTAAGCCATCATTCAGTATGTTTTAACCCCAAAATATTTTCTTCTTGTGCTTTGATGATGGAGATGTTACCTTTGTCTTCCTAAAACCAATTGCTAAAAATTCAAGAGAAAAAGATGGACACCAATAGAAAGAATGCTTCAGTGACAACTTAGCTTTGTCAGTCACCGTGATGGATTTCTCAATACTTCATTCTGAAAATATATATTCAGGCCTTCTCCCTTCTTCCATGTGCTTAAAGTCCAAAAATCCTTAATATTAAATGTCACTTACATGAATTGATAAGAAAAAGTTAGCAGTGACTACTCAGCTCCAATTTTACAGTGGAAATTCTTACAGAATTCTTTGCATGTTGCTTTTTCATATAATTATATTATTTTTCTGTCATGAATCAAACATATCTGAAGAGTCATAAAATTGTATAGTGGCCAAGAAGCAGCTTTATGTTTATTAGAACCTGTAAAAATCACACAATTTGGGTAAACTGATATGTAATTCAATATTCAATTCTCTCTTTTTTTTTTTCCTAACTGCTAGAGAGGTTAATTGTTTGGGTTTCTTTCCCCCCCTTTTTTCAATCTTCTTTTCTTGAGGAGGGTTTGCTTTCTACTGGGATTTTCAGGAAACGCTAGTTGAGTTAGGAATGTCACTGAAGTGTTTTTTTGGTGTTGTGAACAAACTGCTGTGGGATCTTCTGAAAATCCTAGCTGTGAGCAAGCTTAGTACAGTTCTGGGATTTAAACAATGATAGCAAATAATTCTCAAACAATAGATATATAATTTAGTGGTTCAGTGACATTTATCATTTCACTAGGGGGTTGTTATGTGACTCAAGATGCTCTGTAAAAGGAAAAGCAAAAAGATTAAAGAATAGGGTACTTGCTGGTCTTCTCTTCTTGCCAGGCTTTGTAATCATTAGAGTTGTCCCTGTCCTCAGTTGGTTTCATCTTGGCATCATGTTGGTCCTGATCCTGTAGGGTGCACACAAACCCAGTGAATCAGTAGGACTACTTATGTGTGTAAAGTTTGACCCATCTTTGAACTTTTTATGTGATCAGTACCAGAGTTTTCTCAATCCCTTGCAGACTTGTGCTTCTGAAGAAAATAGTGTTTGTAGCTCTCATCTTTGGCGCTGTTCCATGTTGGACGTCTTTTCACTCTGCTTCTCTCCCTGGAAAGGAACAAAGTCATGAAAAGGTGGAAGCAGAGTATTAGAGAAGCTGGGTCTCCACGTTAGTGTCAGTGTCGTCTGGTGCAGTCCTCACGCCCCCACTCCTGTGACAGGTGTCTCCAGTTAGCATCCCGCAGCCTGTCCATGTTTTCCTTGTCTCGGTGCTCTCCCTCAGATGCCCCTAGGTTGGGAAAGACAAAGAGTTCTCAGAGTGTGCTAGTATTTGACAGAATTTAGGGAGAAGTACTGAGACAAAAAGTCAGTCATACAGCTAATCATAACCGGTTGCTGCACTAGATAGCACCTAATAAACTCTCGTTGCTTCAGTCACTTAATGCAAAGAAAGAAAGCTTTCAGGATAAAACATCCATGAGTTTCTCAGCCTCAAACGTTGTTTCCCTTTCCGTTTCTCACTAGCCAGATATTTTTGATATTTAAGATACATCCATCGTTTATTAGCTAATGACTTCCTATGACATGTAAATAACAACAGGACTGAAGTTGTTGGAACTCACAGTGAGTGTAGAGCCCAAGCGTGTGTTTAAGCATATACAGGACTGAGAGTCTGATCTGTTATTAGCTATTTCTAAGCTGTACAAGAAGATTTTTTCTCAAATTATTGCAAATCAGGAACAGTTGTTTTAAAGTTAGGTGGGAAAGCCCTGTAAAAGAACGCTGCATGTTCTCTGCTTTTGACTGTTGCTAGCTTTGAAATGAACTTGTGATGATTCTTTGTGGATTTCTCTCTTTCAGATGGAGCAAACATGTGATGATATAGATGAAATGTTCAGCAATTTACTTGGAGAAATGGACATGCTGACCCAGGTAAATACTTTTTTTTTTATTTTTTCAACAGATTAGGAAAATAGTTACTACGTATTAGGGAAAAGAGGCAGCCTTTCTGCAGTTTTCGTGTTCTTTCATTTTGAATAAATACAGATAAATTATTTTGAAAAACATACAGCTGAATTTCTCTACTTGGCATTTAAAACAAGGGGCCTGAAGAACAAGGTGATACCAGTGCAAGTTAGATTATGAAAGAGAGCTAACTGTTTGTGAAAGAACTTTTTCCAAAAAAATAAATGAGCAACTTAAATTCCTTTTAGACTCAGCCCCAGGAAGTTGAAAGATTCAATCAAAGAGGAAGAGTCTGAGTCTGAATTTTCACATATGAACTCTTTGCATGCATGGGTAGATGACACGTAGCCTGTGTGTGAAATGTAAACTTTGGGCATGAAAGCAACATTTTTTATTATATTGAATATATGCATCTAGCAAAAACAATCATCTTCAGATGTGCCAAAATATTAAGTTACAGACAGGGTGGCATTCAAAAATTTATAGAGACATTATTGCCAGTGCAGAATACACTCTTGAGAGGAAACTGTAAAACAGCATGAGCCCGTTTACAAACCTACAGGAATATTTCCTGCAAAACCTAATAAAGGAGAATGTATAGTTCTAAACTACAAGCTCAATAAATTTGTGGCATTTTCACATATGCCTATTTGAAACACTTAAGCTGTCATCTTGGATTCTGTGTGAGTTTGATTGCTTACAGGCTCTGTTTTGGAGACTCTTTCTTCTCAGTAAATCCCCATGCTTGCCAAATTAAATGTCAATAATTCTGAGCCACAGAACAGGAATTGTGCTTACAACATGTGCAAGTCAAGACAGCATATGACAGTCTTAGCTATCAAACCATAATACTTTGCCCTGGTAGCCTTCTGACTTCTTGATGGTTTTTTATAACCATGTGTATATAGTTACATATATATATGTATATGTGTATGTGTGTATATATACACATACACACACACACACACAAAAGTATATATATGTAAAGGCAGGTTCTTTTAGGATAATATAATTTCATTATTATGCCTTGAAAATGAACAAAAGAATGCTCGTGTTAAGTTTTACCTCCTCAGGTTGGACACAGCACCATTGTGAGTGCAGGTGATGGGAGGAGACTGAGGCTGCATGTCTCCTCCCCGCGCAGCCGTGCAGGGCCGGACGGGTGGGATGGGCAGCGTTCCCAAGGCTGGGATAACTCCCCCTGCTCTCCACAGTGCTGGCCTCACCTCTTCCCTCAGCACTGGATGGGAGAAGGAGACGGCGCATATCTGAAAGCCTGAAAACCCTTTCTGTCAGCAGACTTGCATCTTTTAATTCCTTTAGACTTAATTTCCTAAACCAGTCTGTAGAATAGTTTTTCACCTTTCTTCCGCACTTTGTTTGTCTGTTCCTAAAGTGAGCGTAAGTGATAGAAACACACAGAAATGCCCTTTCATTGCATAAAAAGGCGGAAAACTAAATGCAAAACAGGAATCAGGCTTTTCTGCTATTTTTATGTCCTTTATTTTTAACCATGTTTTAGCATTTCAGTTGTTTTCTGTTCAATTTCTCTTTGCTTGTACTTTCTCTGCTTTCATTTTTCTTTCTGACATTATACTTTCCTGGCCCTCCCTGTACCATCCTTTTTTGTACCTTTTTTTGATTCAGGCACTGTAAAACTATCTCATTGGCTTCGTTTCTCCCTCACCCTTATTTAAAGCCTGTCTGGTTTTTTTGCGAGTGGCTATTAAACACTGTTTCTCTGTTAAAGTTGTCACTGCTTTGGTTTCCAGCTCTGTACAACTTCAGAAGAAACCAACATGTCCTGGGTGGGAAATATGTGGAAATTGCTGCCAAGAAAAACCTTTGCATTAATTTTCAGGGAAAATGCCTGTCAGTTTCAGGCAGCTCTAAGAAATGTAAATGCCTCTGGTAGAAGTTGAGTATGAACAAAATGTCATACTATTGCAGCAGAAGGCAAACATCTCACAGGGAAGTATAAACAAAGGTATAGCTTGTAAGGTATATGAAGTAATCCTTCCATTCTGCTCAGCACTGGTAAGCCCTCAACAGGGAAACGGTGCCCAGTGTTAGCACTGCATTTTGAGATGGAAGAGGGTCAACTGGAGAAAATCCAGAGGAAAGCAATGGCAGTGATGAGAAGGAAAAGAAACATGAGAAGAGGATGAGCAGGATTGTTTAGTCTAGAGAAGATGAGACTGATAACAATCTTGAAATACATAAGGGGCTGCTTCAGCACAGAGAGAAGTACTTGGTTCCCCATGTTCACAGAGGGTGGGACAACGGGAAATGGCCTTCAACTGCGGCAGAGGATGTTTAGGTTAAACATCAGAAGAGAGGTTTAATGGCAAAATGGTTTTGGTTAGCAAAGCAGTAGAATAGACTGGCAGAGTAGATGCTGGAATGTATATCATCAGAGGCTTTTCTTTTTTTCTCTTTCTTTTTTTTCTCCTCTTTAGAAGAAGGTAGCTATATATTCGTCAGGTATGAGCCAGGTATAGCTGACCTGCTTTAGGACAGCTGGATGTTCTGTATAGCCCTTTGAAAAGCCTTCCAGTCTTGTTTCTGTAGTTCGATAGTTTTCAGTTATTAGAGCTATCACCTTCCTTGCTGGGGAACAGAAGGAGAATTTATCTTTCTTTATCTTCACTGTATACACTTTTCCTAACTTTATGAAGCACTAGTTCCCTGCTTACTTCCTAAACAACAAACTACAAGCTGAGGAGTCTCTATTTAACTAGGCAGTTTTGCAATCTACATTGCAAACAACAGCATGCTTTTTTCAAACAATAGGAGAAAATAACAGCTAAGTTACATTTGTATTAGTAGATAAAGCACCCTGGACCAAGTGGCACTGCGTAGTTCAATGTGTACGCATCCACAGCTAAACTCTTTTAAACTCTCGTTCCAAGAAAACCTCACCAAAAACCCATAACCAGTTTGGCTTTATGCACTGTCTCTGTTGCAAATAGCTGCAACCTCTGCAGTGCCCCCAAACCATGCCCAGGTGTGGCCTGGCAGAGTTGTGGCTGGCATGGGCCAACGTTTTACTGGAAAGCACTAAAGCCATTAAACAGTTGGCAGGATTGTGCAACAGTGCTTGAACCCTTACCCTAGCTCTATTTAGTTTACCAGTCTAGGCGTAACCCCAGAAACTAGTGTGTGGTGTTCTGTTCCTTGAAGAAGAATTAACTTCATTAGACACGCTGAGGGTAAGTGATTGACAGGTATTAATGTCTGTAATAGAAATAGCGTCATCAGACGTATTTATTTCTTTTTCTTCTACCTTAACAGAGTTTAGGAGTGGAGACTTTACCATCTCCATCCCCCAAGGCGGCCAACAAGGAATTTAGCTTTACAGTTGGTTTTAAAGATTTAAACGGTAAGTAGCCAAATGGACTCTTTTGTATTTTTTGTATTTATGTAATATAACTCACAGGAACAAATGAGAAACAAAACTTGAAACAGCCCTGATTTAAAAAAAGTTACTGTTTTGCTGGGGGTGGGGTGCATTTTTGTGTCTTAGTTCTCAGTTCATGTGTCTCAACTTCAGAAGGGCCTGATTTTCTTTAAAGGGACATTGCCAAGTCCTCTATGAAAGTCAGACCTGCTAGGTTTTCTCAGGATAGAGCGAACCAAAACCAAGAAGTCTCCAAAATTATTTTCTAAAATGCAACATGTTGTGTGTAAACATTTAACATCATAGAAAACTGGCCTTAACATGAGGTCAGAGCTGCATGACCATTTTTTCCAATGGAAGTACTGGCTTCAACTGCTTCCACTTTACGTTGCTCATTTTCATTGTGCTTTGCTCTGTCACTTTTGCACATACATCTGCTTGTTGAGGCTGTGAGACGAACAAGATGGGTGAACTGATCTGAGCTTAAAAAAAAAGCCACCTCTTTATTTTTTTTTTCCCCCGCCTTTTGCTTGGGAGCTGGTTGTTTGCATTTCTCTGAATTGATTTTTAGCCTGTGTCTGTCCCAGAATCAGTTCACCATTCAGCTACCTAATGTTTCTACCAATAAAGTGGAAGGAGGTAGGCAAAAATGGGGGGTCATAAGCCAGCTCCCACTGAAAAGAAAAGCTCATGAAAATACACTATTCACGAACAGCTACACAGAGGAAAGTAAGGTAGTCTAGTGATGTATTCAGTTAGCCTGAAGAATGACCTATCCTTTGTTGAGCTACTTCCGCCTTTTTGAATATCCAATTCAGGAAAGGACTCTCCGTCTCCTACCTAAATCCCACTTAGAAGTTCCCCAATTTGTGATTCTTTTCTTGAATTAGACTCTTCAAAGAGATTAAAATCACTGAATCCACTGGTTCTTAAAGAACCATTCTCTTCTAGAGTAGCTAAATCATGCTACAGGATGCTATTCCACAGGATATTTTATACCATGGCCTAGTTTAAACAACCCATTGAGAAGCTGCATCTTAATTTCCAAAATAAGCGTGTAGCATTTTATCTTATACTGTGACAGAGTAGAAGACACAAAGTAAATATTGGAATATTTTGATCTGATTAGTAAGATGCTTTTGAAAAAGAGACTGCCTAGTTTGTTCTTTTACTTAATGGCTCCTCAAAACCCTGCATATCCCATGAGGTTTGTCACAGATGTTGACCGCACAATTGTACTGTTGATGCCATGCCGTTTCTTAAGTCTTAGAACTGTAAGATTCTGATTTTGCCTCGTGTTGATTTTAGAGTTTTAGAATTGTACTAATATATGGAGATAGTCTTGATCTAGGGCTCAATTATGCAGGTTGCTCTGTACTGTACCAGAACTGGCTAAGTTCCGTACTTAATTCTAGATATAGAAGTAGCCTGATAGGAGCTAACTGAATTTCTTGCATCCGTATCACTGAGCGTATTTTTAGGAACTTTGCTGGATCAGGGCCAGGTTTTGAAACATCTTACAGGCCTGAGACCATGTCACTGAAGGTGAAGCTTTCTGTCTTGTCCAATTTGTATTCATACTCTATGAATTGCATTCATACTCTACGAATACTCTACCTTATACTCTAAATTTGAGTATGACCAGATTAATGGCTGTTCACAAAACACATCTATTTTCTTGAACCCATTAAAAAATTTATTTTCTTTCCCATAACCCTTATATCTTAAAGTAGCCATATCTACAGTTTAATCTTCACTGAACTGGAAACATACTGTTTTGCATTGCATTCACTTTAATATGTTTGGTGATTTTCTTTACAGAATCCCTGAGTACCCTAGAGGACAAAGATCTAGATGCTTTAATGGCTGATCTTGTAGCAGACATAAATGAAGTTGAACAGAGAACTTTACAAGCCCAGAAGACTGCTACTGACAATCAGCAAAGTACGGTCACTCAGCCTTCAGCAGGCTTGGATACTGCCACTTCTTGTAAATCAAGCACCTATGTTACCGTTACGGGACAATTTGGGGAGGACTTGCCCCCTCCACCTCCAGACCCTAATTTAGACCTTCCGCCACCACCACCACCACCTCCTTCTGAGCCACTCACTCAGGTAAATCTTGGATGGAATGTTGTTCTAAGCATTCAGTAGTTCCTGTAATTTCATAATTGTTTGGCTTAGGAACAGCCATGGACATTCTTGTGTGGACATCTTGGAGAGGGTTCTGCAGTGATGAAACAGTCAAGAATTGCTGAGTGAGAGTTGTCTGTTACTGTGGGCTCAGAAATAAGAGTTCCTGCTCATTCCTTTTTAATTGTCATGTTGATTCCACAAGATGGGCGTAAATCCTTGCAAAACATTTACTGTGATGGAAAATTTTTAATGAATTTTTTTAATAATCATTGATCAGTTAATCACGGAGAGGTTGGCTTTGGCATCAGTGCAATGCATGGCCAAAGATCCCACTGTTCTGTGTAGACGTTGCTTGGTTCATTGCAGTCTACACTGTTACTATTGGTGAGAAGGTTCAAGGACTGTTTGCCAGATCTACCTCTGGCCTAACGGATTTCTAGCAATAAGAAAAGCTGTTCAATTGTGCAAAATTTAGCATTTGCTAGTACGCTGGGTGCAAGGCTGAGCACAAGAAGTATCTCTCTCCTAATCCCAACACTGAGTCACTCTGCTCTTCTTGGTCTTGTCGTTGAAGGAGAGTAATGAAGCCCGTCTGCAATAGGAGACTGTCTTTACTTAGGAGATGCCAAAGTTATCAGTAGGTACTGTTTATAGACAATTTGCTTGCCTATACACTATATCAGAGTTGTCACAACCTCCTCCACATTTTTCTCTCTTGCAAATCTGTTTTAACTACTGAAATCAAACAGAGTATTTCTGGTAGAAGCATCTAAGGCTCATTTGTTTAGCTTGAGGTTGTGGAGAGGGAGATAGGGCAGAATTCTTATGCTGTCTCAGTCCTATGGGGAGAATTTGTGCATTACAAGAGTGATGCAGCACGAAAAGCATGAATCTGAAATGAAAAATCTAGAAGTGTCTCTTTCAGATGTTTTTTCTTAAGCAGAGTAACTATGATGGAGAGAAGTTGTTTACATTTAGGAATGGAAAGATTAGAAGGTGAAAAAGTGCTTTATTGGCTATCTGGAACTGTACTGGTCAGCTCTGCTTTAAAATCCTGAGCAATTCATTGCAATTTAAAAGCCCACATAAACTGAATATGAATCACCTCAACATTACTGCTACCTCTGGGTTTAGCATCATATAGGAAACATTGAGCAAAGCAAACAGAAATTCAGGACCTTTCTGATTGTGCTAAAAGGCAACTCGCTAGATACAGCTTCATTTGGGGCATGGAAGCTTTCAGTGCTCTCTTTGAAGAGTGAAAGTTGTAAACAGGAAGGAGAAACTTTGCTTTTTTTCTGTATCTCAAAGATAACAGTTAGGTTCCTATCTTAAAGGAATATCAATCTTTGTAAAAACAGCAGCTAGACCGCTTCAGAAACAGAAGTCTTTTCTTTAACTGTTATAGCTGATACAGAAGAGGTGCTGTCAAGAAAAGTTCTTCTCTTCCATGCCCTGCAAGTGTGTTCTCATATTGATTTGGGAAGGTGACCTTTAAGGAAATGCCAAGCTTCTAAATAGTCTGCTTTGGAAGCTGAGGAAGTATGAGCTTGAAGAGCGGCCTGTTAAATGGGCTGAAGAGTCACCAAACTGCCAGCCTCCAGGGATAGTGATCAATGGCTCAGTGTCTGGCAGGTGGTTGGTAGCAAGCGGGATCGATACTGGGGCTCGTATTTAACATTTTCATCAGTAGTCTGAATGATGACAGAAAGATCATCTGCAAATGTCCTGAGGATGCCTTTTAAGGAACAGGCTGACAGGATGAATGACAGAGTTTCATTGCAGAGGCACCTTGAGATACATGAGGATTGGGCCAGCGAAATCCTCAGAAACCCAGGAAGGTAGAAAGTCCTGCACGCAGGGCAGAAAAAAAACATGGATTTGTAAAGTCTGGGAGGCAACTGGCTGAGTAGCAGCCCTGCTGAAATGGAGCTGGGGTTCTGGTGGATGCCACATTGAGGGTGAGCCAACAGTGCAAGGTCATCTGGTCAAGGGAAGCTGGGCTATGTTAAGAGGAGCGTGGCCCTCAGATTGAGGGAAGTAATTATTCCTCTCTGCCTGGCAGTGGTGAGGCCATACCTGGAATACGGCATCCAGTTTTGGCAGTGGAGATACTGGAGAGTGTCCAGCAGAGAGCCGAGGAGGTGGTCAGGGGTCTGGAGCACATAGCCAGCAAGGAAGGGCTGATGAAGCGGAGCTAAGGGGTGATAGAAGAGGCTAAGGGGTGATCTAATGACAGCCTAGAAATACTTAAGAGTAACTACAGAGATGGTGGAGCCAAGCTCTTCTTGGTAGTGGTAGATAACAGAACAAGGGGCAACAGCTACATGTTGTTGCTTTATAACTTCAGATGGGACACCAGGAAAACCTTTTTCACTTTGAGGTGGTGCAGTGCTGAAACAGGTAAGCCAGAGAGGTCACAGATTCTCTGGTTTTGGAGGTTTTCCAGGATTGGCCAGGCAAAGCCGCAGTTGACCTGATCTGGTGTTGGTGGTACTCCTGCTTTGGGCAGGAGGTTGGACTACAGACCTCCAGAGCTGTCTTCAACCAGCACGTCCATTGATTCTGTGAGCTAAAGCCCACTGAAATTAACAGCGCTGAACAGTCCTTTTCGTTGACTCTTGTACTCTACTTTTATCGTTTCAGGCCTCAGGTAGCTCACCTGTAGCTAATTCTCTATTAACTGGCATCCTGCAGTACCTGAGGGTCAAACAAGGTTTCTCAGCAAAGAAAGAATATACTTACTAAACACAGCTGGAATTCTATATGCAATAACATATCTGGAAATCACCTCTGCCTCCCTCAATTAAAGCGTTCCTAGGAGACTGTGTGCTAAGTTAAATCTCTAACAGTGTCTTCTGGTCTCTTCCCAGAAACTAGCACCATAAGAAACAGATACAGGGAGGGGGCAGAGAAGGATGGGAAGAGGAGGCAGTGGCATTCCCAAAGGAATCTGGCTGTAGAAGTTGATTTCCTCGATAAGTTCTGCTCTGTACTACAGCCCTCATCTCATTCTCTGGTACCAATGATATCCAAATACTGATGGCCTGCCCATTGCATGGCATATACAGAATTGCCTATAGGGTTATTATATAAGTTGCAGTGTTGAATAACAAGTAATAATCATTTAAAAAGAGATACAGAAAGAACTGGTTTCAAATTAGTATTTACTCTCTTGGTTAGTACTCGCTTTGACATGACACTTCTGCTCAGAAGAATGAAGTGCAGCTGTAAATGGAATATGTTTTGTTTTGTCAAAATCCACGTTCTTCTTAGCTAGGTTTCTTAGTGGGTAATTTTTGAGCAAATCGTGACTGACATTTTATTTAACACTTGTGGCTGTCTATAGTCAAATAAACAGTGTTAATTATTCCCTTTACACCTGTGGTACCAAGACTCTGTTCCTTAACCTTTAAAGGTTCAAAAATTAAAAATAAATGCTGCTTTTAAAGAAGTATAAAGCAGTCTCATAAGTTGCTGTCCACTCTGACATTTCTTTTCAAAACTGCCCATAAGCTAAATATGTCCTCTATGCTTTCTGTGACATTATCTAGATGAGATTTATGTGTGCCTGTTTGAAGATCCAGAAAACATGATGAAATTGCAGTGGGAAAACAAATCTTTTAGTCTGTCAAAGGTGTTTGTTTAACAGTGCTAATATTTTTCTTCTAATGGTTTATTTACTTTGTACCAATTTCTTTTTCTATATTGAGAAAGGCAAAGGTTATGCAAGCTCTCAGGTGAGAAATCTTTTGCATGGATTTGTACAACGTGTGAACTCTGTTCAACACAGGTCACATGCAGGCAAAGTCCGAGTTACTCCTGCCTAGGCTTTTCAGCAGAAAGCTTGCCTGCATTGCACCCAACCACTTTGATAAAGAAGTTTTTCCTGCCTCCTGCAGAGAAATGTTTTGAGATGGTAAGGAGAAGAGCGTGTTCTGTGAGGCTATATGCTCTTCCCTCTGTAGACCATTCAGCCTTAACTGTGGAAGACTCACAGGTTGTTCAACCACAGATGCTATTTTTGGGTGCTCAGAGTTAATAATCTGTGAGCTGTGGTGCTGCTGCAATGCACATTTCATTAGTTTATGGAGAAAAAAAGACATTTGTGAACCAATTGTCTGACATTCGTAGTGGAGAGCATGATATTGATGCAGTCACTTTGTAAACAAAGAGCCTGATCATACTGAGATCAGTGGGAGTCTCATAGTGGCTGCATTAATGTGAGTGGTCCATTATCAGAATAAAAGATCATGACTTCTCCCAGCTGAAGGGGCCGCCCATCTCCGGAAGTATGCTTGCAGTAAGAGCTTGTGTGTGGCAAGCAAAGGAATTCAAGTAAATGAATTTCTTTAACAGAAAAGTCTCAAATTGAGTGGCATTATTGCAGGCCAACTTTTCAGGAAGAGCCTAAAAGCTCTAGCTCTCTAAATGCTGTTGAGAGAGGGTGAGTTTTCTTTGAAGCAGCTGCATCCACAGCGCTATTTCATTTTGGTTAGATCTTCCCGCATCTTCTCTTATGTATCAGCTGTGACCTATGGAAACACAGAAGAGCCCAGTTTTCAAGCGTTCCTGCAGTACCTGAAGAACTGATCATGGAAGAGCTGTATGACTGAGCAACAAAAGGAAGCACTGGACTTCTAAATTAAACCTTTTTAAATTAAACCTTTAGGCATTAACTCAAGGAAAGCCAGGGATTCCCTGTAGCAATGACATTTCCTGTGAAAAGCCCAGTGTTCTGGATGTAAATAACAAGAAACAACTCTCTTCAAGTAAATGTAAAACTGCTGGCCTTATTTAATAAAAAGTATAATGAACATCTTGTATCTTTTCAGGAAGAACAAGAGGCACAGGCTAAAGCTGACAAGATTAGACTTGCATTGGAGAAACTGAAAGAAGCCAAAGTTAAAAAGGTAAAACTTAAAATAGTGAAATGCTACCATAATAGCTTCTGACTGAGTATCTGTTGTCATTACTCTCAATAATAAAGTTCTTAATAAGATCATTAGGCTTTTTCATGTTTTGCCTTGGACTTGAAACATCAAAAGATATCCTGTTGAGCTGTCTTGTCATCTGAGTGTACAGAAGTCTGACTATGCAGAAGTCTCCGGGAGAACACTACACCTGAGGGCCTTAATTCTAAGCGGACTTGAAAGGCTCTACCTATTTTTTTCTAGTGTTGAGGCAAAGCCCACAGTACCAATATATTGCTTTAGAGGATGTGGAAAGTATATAAAAATGTTGCTTACTTGCACTGTGCCGATTCCCAAGGTACTAAACTTCATTTCTGCAGTGGCTGTGGATACAGCTAACCCTATTTAAATAAATGAGGATGTTACTGCTAAATTGTTTCATAGCAGTGCAGCCATCTGCAAAGATACTAGAGCTGGTTTTAGACCTACATATTATGAAAATAGAAGCTTCCAGCCAGTGTCTACACTGCTGCAGTGTGTTATGTAAAGATGCTCTGTCATCGTAAGCTCGTTTCCAAATCTCTACCCATTACTGTAATGTGTGGTGTAGGGATACCCTAGGACTCCCGTTAAACTCAACAGCAGCTGCAGATGTTCAGTAACTCTGAAAAATGGGTGCGAAGGAAAAACAGTTATGACATTTCAATTGTGCTCCAATGGGAAGTGCCTGAGATGCAGGGCTTCCAAGAAGGATTCAAAGTTTCCAATAAATTTGAGGGTGTCCAGACTTGAGATGGCTCCTATGAAACAGCTTCTACCCCTGCACACATACTACTGCTGAGGAAACGTTTTGGGAAGATTTCCCCAAGGTTATCTTTGGGATGAGCTCTCATAAACTTGTGACTGTCCACTGGTCACCTTCCCTTCCATACAATGGTGGCAGTTATGCTTTAGGTGGAAACATATTTATTTTGAAGACTTTTTTTTGTGTTTTGTGTATTCTGAATATTTGAAACCAACAAGCAGAAGTAAGACTGAGTCTTCTTGTGCCTAAGTGACATCTGTAATGAAATTACTGTGTCATTCTTGAATTCTAGGAAACTTTAAAGACTAAATAACTGTAAAGAAAGTTGCTCTTCTCAGTTTTATGAAGGGTTGGAAGCTGCATGCATGTTTCTAAGCAGTCAAAGCAGTATAACTGGACAAAAATCTCAATTTTTCCCCAAACGTGTTTTAGATTATGCATGTGCAACATTTCTTCTCTATAATATGTGCTGCAGCTCAACTGCTTATTTTAGAGAGGATTATATTTACAAAGGTTGGAATCAGAGCAAGTACACTGCTTTTGTTTTATTTGCTTTTCCTTTTCAGAGGCAATGTAGTTTTCCTCTTGGGGATCCTCACTTTCTGCTTCTGCCTCAGCTTTAACAGAGGTTCTCTCTACTGCATCAAAGCCTTATACAGCTGTTTTAAAAGAAGGGGATATATAAATAAGATGACATGGAGAAGCCCTCACAATTCACCACTTTACTTTCGTGCTTTGTGTATAACTCCTGTAGCTGATTGTTCTTCTGTTTTCAGTACAAGTGGGGGAATTTAAATACCTCCATTTTCCTCTTCACTTAAAACTAAGTTATAACTTTCCGTGTTTCTAGCCTTCTTTAAGGACACACTGTCCTCTTGTACTTGCTTACCCTATCAAGTGTTTTCCTTAATTGCTTATCTCGTAGATTTAGAGACAAGATGAACTGCTTTCTCTCGATAGCAGTTTCACCTTTCCTGAGGTCCCACACAAGGCAAAGTTCAATTTCCTTTTTCAAGAAAAGATCTTTATTTTGGTGGCAGCATAATGTGAAAGCTTCCAAGCTGTATTATTTCCTCAGCTCACTGTGGGACAGGGTGCCTTTGAAACAGTAATAACCTTCTGCCTTAATCTTTCTTATCTGCGTTAGCAGATTCAGACTAGCCTTTTACTTGCTTCTGAAATTAACTGACTCTTCTGTGACTCTGTGCCCAGCTTGTTGTCAAGGTGCACATGTACGATAACAGCACAAAGTCACTGATGGTGGATGAGCGTCAGGTGGCAAGGGATGTTTTAGACAACCTTTTTGAGAAAACCCATTGTGACTGCAACGTGGACTGGTGTCTGTACGAAATGTACCCAGAGCTGCAAATTGGTAAGTGCATAGTGACAGGATCCTTTTAGAACATATAGCAGATAGATACTGTGCATCATATGGTATGGGTAATCTTGAAAAGTTAATTACTAACATTTATCCTGCCCTTGTGTGCTGCATTTATGTTTGAGGTTTTGCAGTTGAAAGGCTTTATCTGAATGAGGGGGATGTGAATATTACCTGATGTCAAACCGATGCTGATGTTGAACATGCCAGGGTGGAAGCTGCATGTTGCTGCGGGAATGCGCTCGGGCCATTCTTGCCATAGGATGGAGCCCTCCAATCCTCAGTGCTACTACCTGCAGAAGGCTCCCTGCTTGCTGCTCTTCCCATATTTCAATTTTACACAACACAGAGGGGCCACCTGAATTGTACTGTTTGTCAAAACCCTGACAGACCCAAACACACAAGTACTCAACTCTGCTCTTTGAAGAGAGGGTGCAGTGCTGAGGTGCTGTCAGCAGACTGTTAACATACTGGCCTAACAAATGTTGTAATTAAACAAGGCTGAGAAACATTTCAGTCACTTCTAATGTGTTTCACTTGCTACAGTCATTCTCTTAAGTGCATTTGTGAACAGGATATTGATCTTTGTTAGGGCTGCAGCTCTGCTGGTGGTATCTTATGACTCAGGAAGTAAGTAACCTGGCCTCCAAGTCCCTAGGAAACAACTATGCAGAACTTGTGCATTGTTTGGTGCACCTAAATGAGTTTTATTTCAAAAAGGCTTCGAGGCCTGGTTGAGAATGGAGCGTTCTCTCGTTGTGAGTTATTTCAGAAACTTTTTTTATTGGCGAGGCTGAAAATACATCCACATCCAAAGGAAAAGGATTGCTGCAACTTTCTTCCAGGGTGGCATTTGGCCTAGAGAAATTAGAAATTATGTTTGACCCAGAGAAACCAGAAACTGTCAGACAGTCTTTAGCATTCTCAGTTTACAGACTCCCAGAAGAGATGTAAAAATGCACGAAGAAAGTTGAACATCAATATCGCACTCTAAAAGAGCCCCAGGAATAGTGATCCTGCTACACTACAACAAAGAAATGTGAAAATGGCTTGGAAAAAGCCGGACTACTCACAAACAAGAAGATATTCATCTGCTTGTAAGAATGGCAGAGACAGTAACTGCCAATGAGTTCTTTCACTCTATTGATTTGAATATGAACTGATACTACCAAATTCTTTTGCACCTGCTAATCTGAACTAAGGAAAGACTGGAAATGCCAATAGGCCCAGGAAATTTCACAAATGTTACTTTGAATAATTTTTGAGTGCTTTCATATCTTGGAAAGTTGCTCCTTCTGATCTGGCGTGACAAAGATGAATGTTTCTGAGTGTTAGGATTACAGCATGCAAACGGGTTTTTTTTCTGAAGGCTCATAACCATTAAACAAAAATTGACTTGTGTTTCTTCATAATCTGAGTAGAAATGTGGAATTCCCTGTCATACAGCTAAAACTGAAGGATATCAGGAAGATCATATGCTACAAACACTGAGGTTAATGTTTAGACTTTTTAAAAAAAAGTTAAATATTTTAAAAAGTAAAAAAACATCAGTCCAAATGAGCTGGGAATGCAGTCCGTGTGTTTGCAGGAGGAGATTTCGATTTGGATGGAGTGGTACATACTCTTTCTTCTGCTTCCAGTAGGCAGCAAAAGCAGTTCATTTTGTTCAAAATTATAACAATGTAACAATTCTTTATTCCTCCTAGTATACTACTTGGCAGTTTTAGAAAGCCCTATTACTATTAGCATGCTTAGTAGACAGGCCTTCCTGGTCTTTCTCTGCCTGCCTGCTTTCCGTGCTAGCCTTTGAGAGAAGAAAATTACATTCACTGTAGGGAGCAAATCCAAGCAGCAAATATTCCAGGCTAATGAACTGATATTCCAGAAGGTCTGAGCTAGTTTTATGTCAGATGATCTATGACAGAATATCTTATATGTACTGATATTCTGAGAGACAATTGTTGCAAATAAAATAAACTGCATTTTTAGTTAATTACATATTAAAAAATACCATGAATGTTTTCAGTAGTGAGATGATGATATTTCACTGGGTGGTACATACCAACATATATTTTGTTACAGAGAGTAAACTATAAACTATAAAAAGACCCACCTAATGATGGTAACTCATACCTTTTGTGCAATAAAAGCCTGGGACTGGAAATCATACAAAACTGGATGTGACAGAAGTTAGTCCTAACTAAAGAACACGTGATGAGAGAATAAAGTTTTGCCTCTCTCCCCCTTACTCCCATGTTCACCTTTTTTGATCCATAATTTGACATTGACATGTAGGACAGCATGTAGACTAGATATATTCCATACCGCCTAAAGGACTGCAAAGTAGCATTTTTCCTCCTGTAAAATCTTTCTTCACCTAAAGCAAAAGAGATTAAGGGATGTTGTTGAAGTGAAACTTTTACCTAGTTTTTGTATATTTCAAATGCATTATCTGAATTTCCTGAAGTTTTAAAGGATGTTTGTTTGCCACTCCCTCTGTCCTCAGAATCCCACATCTTGTTTGACTACTTAACACTATGCTGTGACAGAATTAAATTAACAATTTGGATTATTTAGCATAGCAAAATTAACATTTTGCTATGAGTGAATTTATTGCTTCAAAATTAATATCAATTAAGTCGATGTATTCTTTCTGTATCCCAGTGTAATTACTGTAGATGAGTGGGTTTGCTCTTACGGCTTGAAAATTGTTTTGTAGTTATCCTGGAATATCAGATACTGTTTATCCTTCAGGTCATTGCTTGAGCTTTAAGCAGTGCTTTATATTTCCAGTTGGCAGAAATACCAATTGCTAAATGAGAAGTACTATTAACACAAAATATTAACAAGACAACAAAGCTCCTGTTGTTAAGAGACTATAATGTACATATGAATCGGCCTTGAAGTTAGTCTGTAGTTTATGAAAGTCGGCAGTTGTTTAATTCCCAAAAGTTAGTTTTGATGGGCCACACTGAACTCTTGTCAAAAAGAACAAGCAGTATTAGAGAAAGCCCACAAAATATGTGCTATCTTCTCTTACACTAAGCCAATCTAGGCTTCTGAAAAAAATGTGGTCAGCAGAGACCACTGAAAGGGGAGTAAGCTGTAGCTAGAAACTGCCAAAATCATACTGAAAATCAGAGCTGAGTGATTTTTTTTTTCCCTCCTAGATACTGAATTTGTAGAGAAATGCAGTTTGGGTCCTTCCAAAATTACTTGTGAAATCAGATTGAAATCCTTTTTCTTCCGAAGGATTCTTTTATGTGACTGTTAAAAATTACTTCATAAAAGCAAAACTCCAGAAGGAGAAGTCATGAGTTCCCTAATGTCACCATAACCTGGTGGCTTTTCTAGGTGGAGGATTTGGTTTCCAATCAGCAAAATAAGGGATAGAACTGACACTATGTCTCCCACACCTCTGGTGAGGTTTTAAACTGCTGATATGCTGAGTGAAAGAGTAGGTCTTCGTCCCAGTTTATCAGTTTGTCTTTCTATTTCCTTAGTTTTGCTATTTCTGATTTTAAATGTGTTTGCCTGAAACAAAAGAATTTATTCTGAGTACATGTTTCAGTAAGTAAAAAAATTAAGACAATTTTCAGATTATTTTTTTCCAATTTAGTAGCCAAAGTGAAAATATATCCCCCACCCATTCTGCAAACCATAAAAGCAAAAAAACCAGAAAGCCACTGAGACATATAGGTGTAACCATCCACTCTTGGTGGGACAGTTTCCATCCTTTGCAGTCTCCGGGCAGGAGCACAGAGATGCAGGAGGACTCCCAAGAGGATGCCGTTGCTACATCAGGCATGTGCTATAGCTGATTTGCCCTTCCACTGGTCACTGTTCTCATGTGGTTTTACACTCTTCTGTGCAGTGGAAAAGAGGCCTGGGCTCTCCAGTTCTGAGTGAACATCAGCTAATGATTTCATTCTGACACAGGACTTTCCATCTGCAGCTTTGGGAGAGGGAAGAGAGAGTGTGTGTGTCTTACATAACCTTTTTTTTGTCTCTCCAGAAAGGTTTTTTGAAGACCATGAAAATGTTGTTGAAGTGCTATCAGGCTGGACTCGAGATACTGAGAATAAGATTCTGTTTTTGGAAAAAAGCAAAAAATATGCTTTATTTAAAAATCCCCAGGTAAGGTAACAGGATATTTGGAAAACAGTCTGCAATGATGTCCATATGTTGCATATTACGCTATTGATTTGCTCTATCAGTTCTAAATTAGAGAAAGCAAAACATGTACTTTCAGCAAAAAAAACCCAAAAAATTGAATGCTAGGAAGTGAAAATTAGTTCTTTCTGTTCCTTTCTGTTAATATTTTAAAGCCATATCTGCAGTGGTAAAAAATGAGGCATGTAGTTCTCTACTGGTACAAGCTTTTGCTTAGGCAAAGCTCTCAGAACTGGGCTGAGATGGGACGGTTGTAAAAACCTGACCTTTGTCATTACTATAGTTTCCATGACCTTTTTCACTGATGAGCATCAGCATTTCCTTAAAGGTCTAATTTTTGCCAGTTATATATGAAACTACGTAAAAAGAATGCTGAGTGCTAAAGAGAGAGTTTACCTGGAAGACTGGGAAGAATAATTGGGTAAACCGTAAGCTGTGCACATTAACTTTATAAAATGAGGATCTGCACACTGACTGCACCAAATTATAGAGCGTAGGTATACACACATATATATATAGAAATCATTTCTTTCCTGTGATGTGTGGTGGAAAGCATATTTACAAAGACTTGGGTACATACAGGTGCTGGATTCTCTGGTGCTGGATTTTTTTTTTGCCTTGTCAGGTGTCTGTTAACTCGGTGAGCATCTGGTTTGATCCTGAGGCCAGCAAGATAAAAATGAGCAGTCCTTCACTGCAGAAAAAAAAATGAGTCAAATATATAATTTGGCAGCAAAGCTTACTCAGCTGCTCAACTGGGAAGTCTTTTTTAGATTAAGCCAGTGTTTCAAATGAAACCTGCAGAAGGAAGTTTCCCTCGTTCACATACTAAGTAACTACTGAAAGGGAAAGAAAACGTACCCTGCAGTGTACATGGATTAATGTTGATTTTTTTAAATATTAAACAGCAAAAGCCAGGTTTAGAAGTAAAATATATGTGATGGCTCAGGATGTTGTACTTTCTAGTGCACGTTAAACATACGTAGCAGCAGAGGTTAGGTTGTTTACTTGTACAGCAGTAGCGTTGTTTGCTGTGGCTCAGGGCAAGGTCACGAACCACCTCATAGGGAGTAGGTCTTTGGTGAAGATTCTAGGTATTGTGGTTGCAGTGACCGTTAGAAATAGACATGACCTAAAAAAAAACGTGAATAAGATCCCAAGTCTGTCCTGCTGTTCAGATCATTTTGAGCTTGATCTGGACATGTTTGCAGTCTTTGAGCTTCAGCACTTCTGAGATAAGCCCTAAAATGAACAGCCTAGGGAAGCGGGATCAGTTGTGACTATCATACTATTGAAATATTTTGGCAGCAATAAAGCCTAACCATCTGTCAGGCTCAGTAAATTCAAACATTGTGAGGCATACAGAATAGTACAGTCATATCAGCACTTTTTGGCGGAAAATGATCAGTACTGTACAGACAGAGCTCATGCTGGATTACAAAACATGGCCAAAGAGAATATATGATCTGTAGTGAGTCCCTGAAAAGGTAAATCAAGTCAATGCTGAGTTGGTGGGTGGCAGTGTGTGTGATTATGTAGCTAACTGCTGATGGAATTTGTCATGCAACCAATGGGAACGTGAAATCCAGTGCTCTGGCACTGGATTTGCAGTACCTTTGGCCTCGTCCTCCTCCAGGCTCAGATTATGTCGAGGTTGCTTCATTATCTCATTCTGCGATTACAGAAACTACAGAGTGCTTTTCTTGAAACAGTCAGTTGTAATGCAGCAACACTAGCATTACTCATGTTCTTATTTAGTGCTCATGCTGTTGGAGGTTATCTGCGGAGATGGAAGTCTCAGTTTTGTAACTTGTGATTTTTTTTTTTCTAAAAGGTGGTCAGGCACCCACAATTTATTCTTAGACAAAATAGTGACAGTAAATGTTAATTACAAAAGCTTGATACAGTGAAGTGCTTTAAAAAAAATCCAATTATAAAGGTATCCAGATGCATTGTAAAAACAGAGGACCACCATCACCACAGGTGGACCTCTGGAGGAGATCTGTGACCTGTGCTAATATTCATTATTTCTTCCTATGAACTAGACATATACCTGGTATAGATTAAACAACAATTAATTGAACATTTCATTTTCTAAAGAGGAACTGAGGTTTTGAAATACAGGAGTTATCCTCTAGGTATGTGCTGGCAACATATTGCTCAGCTAATACTAGTGGCTGTTTACAGAAGATTGTCATTCTTGTCATGCAGGTCCTCTCTAATAGTTATCTGCAGCTTTGTTTCTTGAAACAGTTGTTGAAAGCATTCGGAATGCATTTTGGAAAAAAGCATTTGCAAAACCCTCAGGTCTCCCCTTCTTCACGAAGACAGACACCCTTGCACCCTCTCCTCGCTGTAGTATAATTTACCTCACAAGAAATTCACAGTAAAAGACTCTTCCACAAAAGGCATCAGTGACTCATCTATAGAGACAAAAGGTCCCAAGTCCATGACTGAAGAGTGAACCAAAAATACATATCAGTACATGCGTAAATGAAGAAAACCTTTATAACATAGGAAAGACGATGTTTTGTGATGTAGTCCAAGGATGCTGTGCTGACCTTTGAAAGGAAAGGTTATCAGGTTTCAACACCTCTTTTCAAAGAGCTCAAAGTGTAATTCTCAGCTAAGAGAGACTATAATACAATGAAAAATGTAGGAAAACTTTTGTTTCATTTAAGCAAGGTTATTTGTAAGGGACAGCTGCATCTAAACTCCTGACTCTGAATGTTAGCCATGCTTTTAAAACACTGCATATTTGATTTTTGCTTACATGGATTTTGATTTCCTGTGTTTCGCTATTGCTGGTAGAAGCAGACAAGAGAAATTCAAACAGAGCAAGTACAGCACATGCATGTGGTGTCACATTTTTATATAATTCTTTGGACACTACAAAAGTTAATTAAAAATCGGGATACAGTGACTACTTTATGCTTCTGCTCCCCTGTTGGTAAACCAAAAGCAAGAGCTATATCCTCCAGTGGAGAACCCGTACATTAAATTCACGTGTTGTGGCTTCCGAAAAGCAAGAGTACTAGACAGCATGGGAAGGATATGGAGTAAGAATTCCTAATGTCTTTCTTAACAGGACATCTGTAACGAGTTCCATGCTCGAATATGTATTTTGAAGACGGTGAAATCTGGTTGGTATCCAGCAGGTGATACTTTCGTTTTTAACCATCTGTGCCAGCCGTTAATGACTCCGTATATCAGATATTTTTCTCTCCACTGTTACCCTCTGAAGGAAACAGAAGGGTGGCACTGAAAATGACTGTTCACTGTGCTGGTAAACGTACAAATAAACTGAAGAGAGAAAGGAGAAGTGTTTTTCACTGTGCTCCCGGTATTTAGTGATCTTAATTTCTTTTCCTGTTAGTATGTTTCAGACCAGGGTATAGTTTCAACTTGAAGATATATACTTGGATAAATATTCTTCTTTTTCTGCCTTGCAGTGGTAACACAGGAAGAGTCTTTACACAGTTTAGCTGTTTTACAGGCAACTTTTAATCAGCCTATTAAGTGCTTTGTTTTTAGCTGCATCCTTTCTTAAGTATGTCTTTGATTTGACCTGTGTTCCCCCTTCTTAAAAGACTGAGATATCATCATCCTTAAGCCATGAAAAGTTAGCTGTAGTAGTTTTCTTCAAACATTACAAAATCAAGTAAGCCAAGTTGAAAATCGGGTTTTGGACTTTAAAAGAGCTTTGCTTTCAGCTTCATATCCTTATTGACGTTGTGATCTTCAGAGCCATTATAGGTTATCTCCTAATATTTTTATCTGCATTTTCTTTAGGACACACAGCATGATATGGGTTGCAGGTACGACTGCGTTCTGTTTCATTTTTCCTGCACGAACCTTGCTGCATTCAGTACACAAACTACATGGGCCGCATGCAGTGCATGAGTCAGTGAGCCAGCCCGTTTTGCCTCATTCCCTGTGCAATTCGGATGAGGGAGAACAGACAGCTCATTGCACAAAGAAGATAGCCATCAGTATGGAGCAGCTGCCTCATTTGCTGCACGCTATCTGGTCTGTGCTCTTGTGGATCTTGCAAGTCTTCTGGAAAAACAGTTTCAATAGATTGAAACCGAAAGTATAGTCCAGGCTGCAGGAGAGGCAGAGGGAGAGCACTGCCCTGAACACCCGTTTGTTGCTGTGTGCCGACAAGTAGCTGCTGCATTTCAGCTTAGATGGAGCAGTGTGTGAAAGAAGATGAAAGGCAGGAGGGGTGTAATTTCATTTAATGAAACCTTTTTGCAAATACAGAGATATAGAACACGTCTCAGAAGCTTTGGCAGTGCAATAGTTAGGGCTACTGTTTCTGCCATGATCCAAGTTTGGTTTGCTTGCATGGCACAAGAGATTTTTTCTGAAACTATTCAAAACCATTTCTGTCTTCTGCTGTTGTTTGAGGGTTACACAGCAGAGAGAGATCTGGCCTGAATTTTTTGCCTGCCTCTCCACAAAAGGGGAATGGCTAAATAGAAAGGTTGTGTGCATAAGCTTGTGGAATTTTGCAGATTACAGTGCAAAGCAGAAAGTTAACTTAAACTGGCTATAAAATCTTTACAGCAGTTCCCTTTGTGCATATGGAATTCCCTGTAATGTAAAAACATAGGTGGGTCATCAGCTAGTTTTGCCACTGTCCCAGGGGAAATGCTGGCCTAATGACTCTCAGGGATGTTGTACCTGGCTAGCAGGACACATCAAAACTGTCTCTGTAGCTCTGCGTTAGTTTGGGGCAGGCAGAAGGACGCGGGACAGCAACTGGCTTCTTGTTGGCTTCAGCTGGTCTGGGATCCCTGTAGGCACAGGGACAAATCCGGCAAAAGCACGCAACTGTTCATCACTGCAGCAAATAACCCAAACAGAGCAAAAAAAGCAAACCCCAAGACAAAGTGTGCCAGCATACCTTTTCTGGTTAGTTTAAACAACCTTTTATGTTTATGTTCTTGGGTTATCCTCCCAAGAGGATGAATCCATCCTGTTAAGTAAGCTCAGCTGTCTGTCAAGAGAGAGACACCTTCTTTTGGAAGTAAAAAAACAGTTAATTCTCAGATTTGTGGACTTATGCAGAGGGCTGCCTGTAGCCAAACCTTGTCACAGTAAAGATCTGACATCCCAAATCAAACATGCTTTTCCCGGTGGTGTCTTCAGACAGGAAAGAGCTTGCCTTTTATCATGACCTTTGACTACTGGGCTTGGAATGACCTCTTGTGGACACGTGTGGTTGCCTCCTATGTGATGAATGCTCCTGATCAAAAATAGGAGACCACACAGTGAGAAAACAAGGACAGTGTACAGTCTGCTCCTCAGGCACTGGCAAATAATAAGCACCATGTACTCCCAGATATCAGGAAGGCAGAGACGTAAAGGAGGCACTCAGTAATAAATGAAATGCATATTGACAAGTGAAAGATGAAATTGTGCATCTGTGCAATGTACAATGTGAGTTGGATGACAGATCCGTGTTTCCCTAACAAAAACTGCCTTGTGAGTGATCTAGCATGGATGTCATTACAGACTTTGTTTCTTTACTATTGACTGGGTCGTCACAGGGTGGTCAGTGCTTTTGCTAAATAAATGCCAGATGCTTGAACATGAATCAGTTGTAATCAGGAAAGCTTGGTTTCCTTATTGCCAGTGCGTTGATGTCTCACCAAGCCGGATGAGTGGACTAAAGATGTGTCCAGGCTGTTTGTGCTGCTGTAAATCCTATATAAGTATTTCTGCCTATTTCCTAGTAAGAGTGGTTATTCTGTTGGAAATTCAAGTTTCTTTTCGTATGTCCATACCATAGATATGGCATGAGTGTAGGCTGAATTGCAGGTGGCTGTGTTTCTGATGTCCCCGACTTAGTGTGAACTTTTAAGAAAGGAATTTTAAAAGAACTGCTTTTGGGATCATGCACACCTCTTCCTCTTCTGGTGCCTTCCAAAAGCCATCTGCTCTGAGCTTTGCATGTTGGCAGGCTGCTGTTCAAAACACTGCTTGAAAAAGAAAATGTGGTTGTGTGGAGAAGCAAGGTTTCACTTCAGATAAGCCTTGTTGCTGTAAACATGGCATGCTGGCATAGCAGAGCTACGGCTTGTGTGTTTATTTTGTATGGTGTAGCAATAGCGTGTTGCTTCCTTCATTTGCATGTTTCTCCTTTGTCTTTTGGTAAAGTTTTGGTAATGTTTGGTACTGTGTTGCAGTTTACTCTTTGTCCAGTACAAGGGCAAAACTGCATGTAAACATGTTGCTCCATTCTCATAATCTTGAGGCATGTCTCACTGAAAAAATGGTGGGGAAATGTGAAACATCAGATAAACTCTGCTGGTTTTCTTCCTACAGAATTGCTGACAAGTTACAAAGTTACAGAATTAGGAGTAATTTTTAAGTAGATAGCTTTCAACATTGGTTGAGTCTTTACAACTTTGTCTCTTTCCTAGAAAATAAGTTTTGTTTGTTTCATACCCTTTGTTCTGCAAGTGTAACTTTTTGACTAATTCCAGGGAAATCAGTAGGACTGTCCCACGCATCAGGTATTTTCCAGGTCTGAGCTCCTGTTCTACACATCCTTTTATTTAGAAGATGTTCAAACACAAGGACTTTGTGTGTATCATCCTGACTTCCTGCCTGTAGCTCCAAATGCTACTTGGCATAATTCCTTGATCCGCCTGCTTTCTTCATACATGGCTGCCTTAGCATCCGCAGGTGGCTAGTGGCTGCACTGCCCAGCTGTGCTTGCTGTTGAGCTAAGCCTGTGGCTGTGCTTAGACCAGCATGTCCCTGAGCCAGCCTTCCCACTGCCTGAAGCCATACCTTCTTCCAAGTGTTCTGTAAAATTCCTGTACGGTGCAGATATATGCAAAGTTGTTTCTGCTGCTTAAGAGTGGGTGAGTTTTATGTTTGCAGGCAGCTGTGGGCATGAGACTCTGTGCTTCCTTGTCTGCAGGGGCAGAAGGTGCTGAGTCCTCTGAGGGCTGCAACTTCAGAGAGCTGCCCTCCCAGAGGTGGAGGGCCCCTTTCGAAGCGTGGGCCTGTGTTTCAAGCATCTGGATTGTGTGTGCCAATATGTCATGGTGGTCATTTCATATACTGATTTCTTCTTGGTTTTCAAATACCTCATTGGATAAAAATACTTTGTAGGAAGTGAGCTGTAAAAGTAGAGGGAAGTAACTTTGGGTAAAGGCTTTTGAATAAAAGCACTTGCTATTAAAAATTAAGAACTGAAGTATGTCAAAAGCACCAGATATGAAAGAGGGCAAATTACCAAAATTTGGTTGCTAGAAAAGATGCTTTCTGGTTTTGATATTGCATTTTCTCCATCGTACATCAGTGTGCAATATAAGGTTATGTTCTCTAACACCTCCTGTAATAATACAGGAAGCTGTGCAAATTGGAATCATAAAATCAAACCCATTGCTCCAGGAAAAACAACCAAATAAAAACAAGGCCTAAGCCAGTGTTTTTAAAATTGGAGGAGGCTGTATATACATAGACAGAAATAATTTTATATTACTTTTGAATTAAATTCAAAGTAAAGAATGAAAAGCCTTGAGCAGGCAGCCTGTGATTAAAGTTGTCTATAACAAGAGAAATTTTTAAACATCTGCCTCTTGTATCTGTTAGTTGGGCACCCAGGATGGAAAGGCTGAATAACCCTTCAGTGGGCTTGTAGTGCTGTAGTGCTACTTATTTGTGCTGCTGTCTCTATAATTAACATCAATTTCTTTTGTGTCTTAATCAGAATTTCTACCTGCCAAACAAAGGGAAGAATGAAAGCAAAGAAATGAATGAGAGAAACAAAGAGGCTTTGTTGGAGGTAAGCCAGCTTTCTAGGTTGATAATGCAACTATCGCCAGAACTCTGCTTCCATCTGCCTCTGCCCTGTAACAACAGTGCTTAGTTCTTTGTGGGCAAATGTGTAACAATAGGAAGCTCTGTGGTGGTTGTAATAGCAGTTTTGTGCCTAAAGTTTAGTTGGCGACCTTTCCTCTGCATCTGCTGCTCACCACTGAGAATATAGATTTTGTCCCTGTGTATATTTATCAGAGAAATTAAATGATGGAGAATTATTTTGTTGTTAGAACCCAATGCTAGGAAGCTGGTTTTGCTTAGTATTTCTGTGAAGAGTAGTGCCATGAAACCAGTAAAAACAATGTTATACAAATCTGAATGAAAGAAATACTGTGCAACACCGTTAGGCCAGCTTTTAGAACCCGTGTGACTTTATTTTACTGGTAAGTTTGATCAGTAGCAGAACTATTTTGGGTGAGAAGTAGACGTACTTCTCATGACCTCAGATTATTAGCTGTACTAAAACAGAACCTTTGCGTTTTTTCAGGAAGTCTGTTTAGCCTCTTGCCTTCCGTATTAAAGTTTTAGTTCAGTTGTGTGCTTTGAGAGAGAACAATCCAGAATTATAAGAAAGAAAAGATTATTAGAGTTCTTCTGGGCAAGCATTTCGGCTTTGATGAAAGTTCAGGAAAAAGATGCTGTTCTCAGGTGCCTGGCGATTCCCGTTTCCAAATCAGTATCTCGTCATGAAGGCACCAAATCTCAACCAGCAGAAGTCTTGGTAACTTCTAAATGAGAACATTAAGTTTATTGGTATTAAAAAATGCTCAGCAGTAGATCCTTCAAGCAAAGGAGTGTATTTGTTCAAACAACATTGTAAATGCTAGCATGTATTTCAAAGTGAAAGCAAAGACTGAGGGTTTTTTTTTTCTCTAGCTATTTTTAAAGCTCTTAAGCGCTCTCTAAAGACAATCTCTAAAAGAGTAAGTATTTCTCTACAGACCCTATCAATACAGCAGCAGTGAAAAACCAACAACAGTAGTACCAAGCATTCTCTTCAATTGCCCTCACTGGGCACATCTTAAAACCTCTTGTAGGTTTTTGCTTGACCTTTCAGAGAACAGAGGTTTTGCAAGCCTTCTTTTCCAGTGTGAGCACACAACTTGCATAGCCTAGTTGCCACATGAGTTTAGAAAACTTTCATTTGCCTGTCCAAGCTATTCAGCTCCCTTATAACTGTGTTTCCCATATTCATACATTCACTGTCACAGGAAATGTCCCTATTTTTAAAGGGAGCATTTTTTCTGCTATGTATTAATAGGGTTTTGCTTAAATCCATTTATTTTGTGTAATATTATTCTTGTCGCACAGGAAAGCTTCTGCGGGACATCTGTCATTGTGCCAGAGCTTGAAGGGGCCCTTTATTTAAAAGAAGATGGAAAAAAATCCTGGAAGAGGCGTTATTTTCTTCTACGGGCTTCTGGAATTTATTACGTACCCAAAGGAAAAACCAAGGTCAGGAAGCCAAATCAGCCTTTTAGCAATAAAACAATTCATGGAGGTGAAAGTGAAGAACTCCCAAGGTGACATTTTAAGAGCAGTGTCTGGTGCATCTAAGAGGGTTTTTTTTTGTTTTAACTTTGGCCACACCACTTGTGCAAATATTGGAATGTTGTCGCTAAATCCTATCACGTTTCCCTCCTTTTGACTTCTGTGGATAGATAAAAGCATTAATAAAATAGCGCTCCTTCAGAAGTCAATGCGTCAAAAGAAAAGCAACACAGCACCCGTTAGTTGGTGTTGTGCTGCTAATAATGCTTCGCTTATACAGCTTTCCTGTGGAATAATGTTTTTGAAATTTTCAAGAAAACTCTTTTTTTGTCACAAAAAGAGGAGTCTGACTTTGTTTGGTAATAACTTTCTGTGCTAGTAACAATCATGCACAAATGGCATACGTTTTCTTCCTACAGTGATCTTTACCTAGAGAACGCTTTGTGGCTTTTGCTGCTTTTTAAGACTGCCCTTTGTATAGAAAGAAGTGAGGCAGAGGCATCCACTTGACAGAATCAAATGCACCGACATTTACTATTGCAAGGTATTTTAGGAGTCTGAATTGCCAACCCTGGAGAAACAAAGCAGTCCTGGGCATTCTGCATGTGAGGGCAGCTGGCTTCTCTTTTCCACGGTGACGAGGTGGAATGACTGCTTTTGGGACTAGTGTACTATTTTTATTATTTTGAGAAGCATTACTGCTTACAGCTCTGTTAATGCTTCAGATTTGCTCTAGATGGGAATTCTAGTGGTAATAGTGGACCTCCACTGTTATGATTTGTGCTGTAAAACTTAACTCTTCTGCCATTCCCTGACTGAATTACAAAGGAAGGAAAAGAAACAATTGATGGCTGATAGAGGCATGCAGCGCTGCTGCTCCAGTGACCTGTGTTTATAACCGAATCTCAGTGAAACACAGATCTATATTGCTTTGCTACCTTCACAACAATGTATTGTGACTTGACTTGACCCTGAGACCCCCTATCTTTCAGTCCTCAAATCATCTTGCAGTCACACCACATCTTCTCAATTAGAAATTAGAACTCTGTTTGGAAAGCACTTAAGAGAGAGAAAAGAGTATACGAGAGGTCAAATGAAAAGGCCATCTAGGACATTTCATTGTAGCCTGCTGCCACCAATGGCTAGCAGCAGAGTGCCTAAGCAGGGCAAGCATATATTGACATTTTCCCAACCTTTTTTCATCCTTCAGTGACTTTCCAGCATAGTTCAGATGAGGAAAGTGGTTTCCTTTTTCAGATGATGGACTGCAAATGTAGGGTCAGCATGGAATTATGCAGTAACCTTAGAACAGCTATTTCGGCTTAACACTTTATTACTGGTTAGTCATTGCAGCCTCTGCACCACGCTGCCTATGAGTGAGCCGTTGTAAGGAATTTTGGGAGTGCTCCCAACCCACTGCCTTACCAGCTCAGCCAGTCGCACTGATTTAGGACCTTGACTCAAATTATTTAGGAGATAGTCATGGCTGTTTAAAATGATACCACACTCAACTGCTTCTCTGACAGCTTCAGCAAAAGGACGCATGTGTCAGCCAGTCCAGAGAAAGTCTCTTAGTCCAAATCTACATTTAATGGTGATTTAAGCTGATGACTGGACTCTATGTTGGAACAGCTGAGGCTCAGGTCCAGATTTCTCTTCTGGAGACAGTAATCTCTGGTAGGTGAGCAGTGTGCTGTGAGGGTGCCAACATCTTAAAGCACTGCAGCAGGATTCAGTAGAGCTCCTCAGTCAAAGCCCTTAATTATGCCATTTCATCTCATGTCAAGGTGGTGTTAAGCATGCTCATGAGACCTGCTACAGTGGTTCAGCTGTGGGTAGAGTGATCTTTCATTGAGGTACAGAAACAAACAGCTGGTGGACAATAATATCATCAGCTGCTGCAGCTGTTGTGAAATTCATCATATGATTGTGTTTTCATTCTTTATAAAAAAGCAAAGAAGTCTGACATACCTTTGGCACTTTGGCTATAAAATATATTGCAAACCTTTGAAAATGCAGGGACGCTTTCAGGTAATTTTACAAACACTGCTTTTTTTTTTTTTTTTTAAACAAATGAGGCACTCATCAGCATTCTCATCTTAGTTTCTTTCTTCAGCATTACTCTACTTACATCTCATTCAAAAAAGTGCTGTTAATGGACAAGGCCACAAAACAACAGAATCCAAATTACAGACACAACTTAAACATTCATTTCTGTTAATTATATTGTTTTGTCTGGACATATTAAAATTGCAGAAGTAGTAGCATTAAGTATCTTTGATTGTCCCTTGCATGAAAATTTGTTCCTTACTTAGAAGAAAATAACAACTGTATGCATATTAATTTTAATTGCCATGAACAGGTTCCGAAAGGAAAGGAACAGCTCCTTATTATATGGCATGGATTTGAGCATGCTTAGGAACTTGCAGTGTTGGAAAATCCTAGGTCCACACAGTCAGTGACAAAATCCCATGAACTTCAGGGGATGCTGGGGAGAGAGAAGCCATAAGCCATATCGGGGTAGAAGATGGAGATTTTCCTCTCCTCAAAAATCTTACAGGCAAACCCCGTTAACTACAGAGTTTATAAATGCATCAGCAGAAATAAACCCAGCTCAAGGGCATATCTTAATGAAAGTAGTGATAAGAATAGAAACAGCACAGAAGAATCATAACATGCTGAAATATAACCCTGTTCTTAACAATAGAGAGGGAATGGGGTTTATTCCTTTTTTTTCACAATTTCAGGATTCGTTGGTTTAGCCAGCAATGACCAGTTGGCAGGGCCATTTTTGTGTTTCAGTCCAAAGGATAGCAAAAGGTATGCTTTCTATGCAGAATTCTTCTGCGCAGAAAAGACTGCCAGCAACAGACACCTTGTTACTTCAGCAACGTACTATGAGCAAGTAAATATTACGATAAACAGAAAAGGAATGGTGCCAGGAAATTTGAGAAAATTCAAAGCAGAACAGATGAAATGTGTGCTTATTTCCTGATGAGAGTTTACAGTTGTTACAAGTGTGAAGGAAAAGCAAGCTCCTAAAGCAATTTAGAACCCCAAACCTTCTTTCTCCCCTCAGAATTGTAAGGGCATGGTTGGGTCTCTGTGTGTTTTATTAAAGTTATTACTATGTTTCTTCTATTCAGTCTTACTAGTCTTAAGCCAAAATCTCCACACACAACACTGAAGAACAGCAAAATCAGAACAGCAGCAAAATTTTGTGCTGTTACATATTATTCCCAGTATGCACTGACCCTCTTCCAATTGTTAGATTAAGAGTGCACACACTTAAAATTCTTCTTTCTTCAGTCAACTCCGTGACAATTAAAAAAATAGTAAGAAAGCATCAATTCATGAACTTTGAAAACAGTCCTTTAATGAGTCTCACATCAAAATTTAATTCCTTCTAACAATGATGTGCTTGGTTTTCATTTGTAGACATCCCGGGATCTGGCATGCTTCATTCAGTTTGAGAATATGAATGTTTATTACGGTACTCAACACAAAGTGAAATACAAGGCACCTACAGATCACTGCTTTGTCTTAAAGGTAATCTGCAAGAAAAATAAGTTCTACAAATGTCATCTACAAATTATTTCATGTATAAACATGTTAGTTTCAAACTCCAAGGACCCTGATCTTTTTATGGGATCTTTTTTTGCCTTCTGCAAAATTCTGGCTATTTTCTGCTTCAGTTTGTTCTTGATCAGCAACGTACCTTAAGAATCTTCTTAATTTTAAGGACTGGTAGTCCTATGATGTTTGAGGTGGTCATAACTATTGAATAACTTGTTGAACTGTGATGCAAAATCTTGCAGAAGTAGACATCTCAGATCGCGTATTTTTTAGCAAAACCCGCTTGTTTAATGACGTAGCTGCTGCTGAAGTACCACATTGCTGCCACTCCCATTGATAACAATGCAAATAGCCTGGGAATTCTCTCTTCCTCTCAGGAAAGGAATAGAAGCCCATGCTTCTCCCATAGCTCCAGGTAGTAGGAATGGAGCTTTGTGGTTCCCTGCAGTGTTACGTGTTTCTAGGACATTATATTGGAGTAATTAGGCCGTGATTATTATCTATCATTAATGCAGATTTTGGAATATGGTAGAGTTACTGTGTACAAGACAAGATAATCTTGTTGCTGCTTCTCTTTCTAAATGTCTTGCAGTGCAGACAAGATATTGGAGAACACTTGCCAGCTCAGAAAATAGCCGCAGGAAACAGATTCACACAAGAGTTCACTTATAATACCACATTTCTGGTTGTAGCTGCACATTTATAGCATTTTTGTACAATTTCAAAATGTTTGCTAGACTAATTTACATGTGGCCGAGCAGAAGTGGTTTATAGACTCAGACTAATTTTCTGTAACAGATGTATCTAATTAACACAGCTGAGATGTTTAACTACTGCAGTTCTCCATAAATGTCTCTGCAAAAAAACACTTTATCCTTATTTGTAAAAAGGGGTGTGCTTTCTGAAATCAACAGGTAAGTTTCATTTCTGAAAAACACAAACTTTTAATAAAAAAAGAAGGATTTTCCTTGGCCTGGAGAAGAAAAGGCTCCGGGGGATCTTACCAATGTGTATAAATACCTGTTGGGAAGGTGTAGAGAAGATGGAGCCAGACTCTTCTCAGTGATACCCGGTGACAGGAGACGAGGCAATGGGCACAAGCTGAAACATGGGAAATTCCACTGGAACGTAAGAAAACACTTTTTGACTGTGAGGGTGGTTGCACACTGGAACAGGCTGCCCAGAGAGGTTGTTGGGTCTCCATCCTTGGAGCTATTCAGAACTTGACTGGACACGGTCCAGGGCAACCTGCTGGAGCTGACCCTGCTTGAGCAGGGGTATTGGACCAGATGGTATCCAGGGGTGCTCTCCAACCCCAGTTATTCTGTGATACTGTAACTCTGTGCAAGTTGTCTGTCTTTAAGGCAATTTGGGGAAGATCATTGAAAGAGTAGCAGCCAGAGCCCATGACAGCTGTTCAGTGAGGATGGCACTAAATCAAAGGAGATTTTTGCATTTTGGAAAATAGATTGGTCTGTAGCCCATATTAGCTCCGGTAAGCCATTCCATTGCTTAGAAGGTTTTTGAATAATAGCATACCACTACAGTTTTTTAGGAAATTGTTGCTTTCTGAGTGCCCTGAGGAGCAACTTGGAAGCTGTTGTCTCAAAGCAGTTAGCAGTCGTCTGCCAAGTTACTTATTCTGCTGTGTCTCAAACGTAATGAAAGTCACTGCCCAGCTTAGAGGCAAGAGACCAACTTGTGCTTTACAGTGAAGGGAAAATACAAGAACTTAGCAGTTTCAGCAACATCTTGCTTCTGTGCAAGGCGGAAAATCCTACTGAATTCAGAACCAGACATATTCTCCCAGCTTTGAGCGCTGAGTTGAAAAAAATACCTTATTTATTTCTGACCCTGCTGGTTAAGCTTATTGGCATCCTTGCTTGAAGAATAGGGGAAGTGCTCTTTGTTCATTCAAAGGGTAGCAAATGGCCAGTGAGATGGTCTCAGTTGGAGATGAATATGACCTCATACGTGAAGGAAGTATCCCTTCTTTTCTGCCAGTTCCCATTTGAATAATGAGCCTTCTGAAAAAATAACTACTAAAAATTGTAAGGTGCAAAGGTACAAAATTTGTACCTGCCTCCAGTCTCATAATATTGAGGAGAAAAAATACCACATTTCGTTTCACTTCCCCCCCACCACAACCTTGGCCATCTCTGTCTTTATGGAGGGAAGAGCCTTCAAGAGATACTATATGACAGCAGAGCATTCCTCACCTGTGTGCAAGATGTCAGGAATTTCTGGGAAAGACAAACTCTGTAACTAATGCTAGCCACAACACTGGCAATGTGGTTTTCGCTAGAATGACTGTCTGTCCCAGCTAACACACAGAACATGTATCCAAGCGCAAAGCCAAGGAGTGGGCAGCTTCCTCTGTCCTGTTTCTTTCTTAATCTAGCAATTTAATTGCAACTGCAGTTGTCATACCTGTCATACCTAATTAGCTGTTGCCAGCTTGGGTATTGATAGTTAGACTGTTAGTGTAACAGCAACAAGATAACGCACATCATTGGCTGGTTTCTTTGTTACTTAGCCAGCAGCTGGGGTGTGTTTTGCAGCCTGCGATGTTGGCAGCTGCACCTAGACCAGCTAGCTTAAACTAGCTGAAATGCAAATGTTCTGGGCTGCAGATCCATCCTGAAGAGGACGTTCCTCTTGCAGGTAGAGAATCATGATAAGTTGTCAGTGCTTGTTACCTGTTAATTTCTTCCCATCACACCAGCACCCCATTGTATATCCTTTAGCTCAGATCAAAAATGGAGAATTTTTTGCTTGTTTGTTAAGCATCAATACACTGAGGAGATATCGGAGAAAAGGGTAGTTGAGCATGAACTTAAGAATGCATCTCGGTGTCTACTAGAAGAGGAGAGGACACTTTGTTCAGCTCGTTCAAGAGTTTCCTTTCAGAGGCAGCAGAAAGCCTAGCTGGGATGAACCAAAAAGAGCACAGGTAGCTCATTGACGTGGCCCAGAGCAGGGTCCCCTTTTGCTGTCCGTGTGCAGCAAACCGGAACTGATGCGGCTGATCCCAAAGATGAGAGTGCAGGCCAGTGCAGAGGCTCCAGTGAAGTTGGCGTTCAGGAATCCTTAGGCTTTGGGGCACTATAAAACTTGAAGAACTGTTTTATTCTTCCAGTAATCACTCAGTCTGTGCTGAGCTAGAACCTTTTAAAATGGATTATACCAGTGCCAAACAAGCCTTCCTCCCTCAAAAAAGCCCTCCAGTTAAAAAACACAAAGCCAGATGAAAACCCCTCAATGTATTAAAAAACAGACCCCTCTGAATGAAATATGGACTTCTGGAGCATCCGCCCCTGTAAAGATGCAAATTCTTCCTGTTTTCCACTCAGCCTAAATGTAACATGAAAATTAAAAGATTCCATTCTTCACTTTGACATCAGATAAAATGGGTCTTTTCTTAGTAGAGATGTGCAGGTACAATGGAACAGTAATATCACAGACTGAGGAAGCCACCCCATGTCCTGTACAATGGAACAGTAATATCACAGACTGAGGAAGCCACCCCATGTCCTCCATGTGCAGAAGAGAAAAGAAAAGGGCAGCCAAGTGTGAAAGACGACCCTCGCTAAAAGCAGCATCTGTTAAAGGTCAGGGCTGTGTCTGTGTTGTCCAGCAGGGAGGAGAAGGGAGCCGGTGGCAGCATGGCTTTCCCTGCCACCCTGTGGAGACAGAGGGATGTTCACTCCTGGAAGAGAAATGGAAAGGGAAGAGAGATCTCTCTCCTTCACAGAAGTAATTTTGCACACCACAGCAAGTGCACAAGTTGGAGTGGTTTCATTCCTCAGAGTCATGTCTGCATTTGCAAATGTAAATTCGTGTGCACAGCTTCCCTATAGCTCTTCTTTGCCATCTACTCCATTATATGGGGAATGCTGTGGAAATGAATGGGACCTTTTGTGATTTATTTCATATTCTAAGAGTGAAAGCCCTCAAAAACAAGATATTCCATGTTGAAGGAAGGCATCTGTTCATCTTGCTAGTGACAGTTTCCATTGCACTGAGCAGCAATTATGAACACAGAAAAAAGTTTATTTTGGGTGTTGAGTATGAGCAGGGGTGGGTGAGTGTGTATGCTAGTCCAGGAGCTGGTTTTGTTGTGCCGTGTTTAAAAATGCTTCAAAGCAGACAAGAAGCAAGGTAATCTATATGCAAATTTGCTGGTTTAGCCAGCCTGATGTGCCAGTGACAAAGAGAGAATTTAATTATAGTTTATTGGTGCTGGTTGTGCTTGAGTAATCTGGAGGTAATGGTGCATAATGGTGAATTAATCTAGGATGAAAAGAATTGGTTTCCTGGGGATAAACTGAGACAAAGGCAAATCATTCTCTATTTCTGCAGATGGGTACATTTTCCTGTGCAGTCTATACAGCTACGTTTCCCTGGTGTCATTTGGAAACTTCCAAAATTTAAAAAAATTTCTAATGATTCACAGAATTTTGGAAGTAAATTTGCAAGAAGAATAGCTTCTGTTTGCAACAGTGGAGTTATTCCAGCAGGTAATTTGGTGCTTAGTTGCTCCACTGCTGACTCCCTCCTCCTCACACCCCGTATGCTCCAAAGCAGTTTGAGTCATGTACATAATGCCTGCAACGCAATGGCATCTAAGAAGGTAGAAGGTGAGTGTTAGCAGTGTTTGAGACAGAAGATAGCGGGAAGAAGAACAAAGGATTAGCACAGGAAACAAGGATCCACAATAGGAAATTTTCTAGTTCTTTATGTGAAAGATTTGGAAACTATTGCATTAGCGTGAATGCTTCAGATAAATATTTCAGAGTAAAATTCATTGTTAGATAACCTTAAAAAAGCAGAAGTAGAAATATTCTTTATTGCAGAACACTTTCAGATATAAGGAATTACGGTCTTAGTATGTGCACGCAGTTTTGCAAGATTAGTGTATAAAAAATGTGGAGAATAAGGACAGAGAAAGGACAGTGAGAAAAGGGGTGTAG